TGCATGCTGAGCCACTTTCCATGCACCACACAGTGGAGCTCCTGACGAAGTGCATCACAAATTTTGGACGAATCTGCAGGACAAGCTGGTCCATTGGACCCAGAGGTTCCCCAATTTTGTCGGTGGCTTTGATGCTAATGCACACATGAGCTATGAGACGGAACCACACATCGGAACGCATGGATTGGAGGCACGAACAAACACGGCTGGAACTTGTCTTCAATCATTGCTGCGCCACATTGGAGGATGGCTCCCATCCACCTACGAATGTTGCCATTCTGGGGACACAAGCACGTGGGTCAGCAATGTTAATGGGCAAGGGGCGAGATGCGATTATATCCTGCTACCCTGTGCTTGGCAGGGACAGTGCCGGACTGCACCAGATGATACGCTGGACGCGGGCACGAACGGCATTGACCACATGCCGCTGCAATGCAAGATAGAGATCTGTCTGCCTCGAGGAAAGAAAATGAAGCCCACAGGAGGTTTTGACAGGCGTGCTTTGCAGCGATGTTCTCATACGAGACTGGCAGACTTTTTCCAAGACTATCCCAAGATCCCATGGAGCATGGATGTCCACCAACATGCCACAGAATTAGCTCAATGGATTGGGAAACAATTGCGATTGCACTTCCCGCCAGCCAAGAATAAACCTCGCAAATCGTATATCTCAGACCAAACCTGGCAGATCCGACAGACACGTACAAGTATGAGGAGGCTGATGGCTCACCATTGCCGACATGCATCTTCAATGACAAGATCTGTTGTGCTGCAGGCTTGGAGAACAGGAGAAATGCTACCCACTAAGGATCTTCTCCTTATGGCAATGACACATGTCAAACTGATTGTTCAGATTCGCAGACAGGTTGCCCAGCTGACCAAAGATCTACAGAAGGCCCTTCGTCATGATCGGACAATGTCGCTAGAACAGCTTGGGGAGCAGGCTAAACACATGACCCAAGCAGATTTTGCTGCAGCGCTTAAGGCGCTTGGAGTCCAGAGCAAGAAGAAGCCATCATATGCCCTGCCGTTACCGATGGTGAGAGATATGGATGGGACACCGCTGGACACCCTCGGTGCAATTGCCGAGCGCTGGCGCAGCCATTTTTCACAACAGGAGGACGGGCAGCCAACTACAATCGAGGAGTTGATGCACCTCTGTGATGCGAAGGCTGCGACAGGTTTTGTTTGCCCTGACTGGTTCCAACTCCCAACTTTCCAGGAGGTTGAGGCAAGTTTTCGGCGAACCAAAACCAATAAGGCATATTTTGCTGATGACATTCCAGGCGACTTGCTGTCCCGCATCCCACATGTTCTCACGAATTGCTTCTTTCCGCTGCTTTTGAAACAGGCGGCGTACCAGAAGGAAGCCCTGCTCCACAAAGGTGGACGACTTGTGCCGGCCTACAAGAAAGGCGATTCCACTGATTGCAATAGCTATAGAAGCCTTTTCATTTCTAGCCCACTAGGCAAGGCATTGCATAGCATCTATCGTCAAGAGCTTGGCCAGATTTTCGATGGCCAACGTCTCCAGATGCAACTGGGAGGACTGAAAGGACATTCTATTGTTCAAGCCAGCCATGCCCTTCGCCTATACCACACCAATGCCTTGAAGACAGGCAAAAGCTGTGCTTTCCTTTTCATTGATATCCAAAGTGCATTTTATCGGCTCCTACGCCAGCACTTGACGACCTGCACACAAGATGAACGTGGAGTAGAACAGCTCTTCCATAGTCTGGGCCTGAATGACTATGCCTTTGAAGAATTCCAGGCATTGTACCATGGAAAGCCGGCATTGGAGGCATCAGGCGCAAGCCCATTTCTGGTCAGTCTGTTCCAAGAGTTCTACCAGTCTACCTGGTATTCAGTCACAGGCAGCGAAGTGCTGACCCTGACTCGCAGAGGAAGCCGGCCGGGCGATTCATTCGCCGACATCTGCTTTGGATTTGTGCTATCTCGAATCATGCGGAAAATTGAGGAGCAGCTGATTTTCGATTTCCCATTCATGATGATGAAATGGAATGGGCAAAGTTCTCCCTTTCCATCAGATGCCACTCAAAGATGCCTCGGCCCATTGCTCCCTATATGGGCGGATGATGTCGCAGTGGCAATCCAGCACGATAATGCGAGTGAACTCCTAAAGGCGATCCCGCAGATTGCAAACCATGTCCTTCATGCTCTTGCGGTTGCGGGACTTCAGCCAAATCTGAAGCCAGGGAAAACTGAGATCCTGGTTGAATTGCGCGGAGAAGGCAGTCTGCAGGCCAAGAGAGATTGGCTGGAGGCAAACTACAAATTCCCGCTGACATCGCCGCTGTTTGATGAACCTCTCCGATCCGCGCACTGCTATAAGCATTTGGGCACCTTTGTCCAACAAAGTGCCAAACTCACTAAGGATCTCAGTGTGAAGTTTGCCATTGCCCATGACACCTTCACGAGATTTCGACCGCAAATCTTCGGCAATCGAAGCCCACGGCTGAAGACTAAGGTACAATATTTCCGGTCGCTCATCCTAAGTGCAATCACCTTTAGCTGTGCAACTTGGGAGATGCCCACCAAACGACAAGCGCTGCAGATGCGTAACGGGTTCCTCAGACTCTATAAGAGATTGGCATGGGCACACCGAGGTTCCACAGTGAAGGAATGGAGTTTTGATCAGGTCAGAGCATATCTTGAACTCCCGCAACCTGAGGAGGTCTGCCGTGAAGCGCGGCTGAGATACCTCATGCAGCTGATCCGCACTGGACAACCACACACGTGGGCGCTGATTCAAGAGCAGAAGACTTGGTATGCCATTGTATGCGAAGATCTGGAATGGCTGCAGGCTTTCTGCCCGGAGAACGATATTCCTACTGGTGCAGAGCATGACTGGTGGAAAGCAGAGGAGTGGGCCCAGCACCATCCTCGACAATGGAAGAGCGTCATCAGAAAAGCGATGGCACGGGCTGTGAGCTTCCATGTTCGATGGTATGACTGGTCTACTTGGCATGCTGACATCCAGAATGAACTTGTTGAGATCGGAGCCATCGCTATCCCACGACCACAGCTGGCTGATGTCTTCTGGTGCCTATCCTGCGGGAAAAAGTTCGGATCAAACGCGGCGATGGCAGTGCATGCCTTCAAGAAGCATTCACGAGTCCAGACAGCCCGACGGTTTGTCGAAGGTCAGACATGCCTATGCTGCCTCAAAAAGTATGGCAGCTATGTCTCCTTGGTCAACCATGTCAAGCGGCAAACATCATGCATGCAGTTTTATCAGACAAAGCCTTATTTGCTTGACCCGCCACCCGGGGTCAACAGCCGTGCTGATCGAACGCGGAATGACCGACTACATGACCCCTTCATGCAGGCCGAAGGGCCCCATGAGGCCAGAGATGGAAGCTCTGCGATTACAGATCCACAGATCCAGGACGAGTGCACCCGACTTCAAACGATGTGGGATGCTGCATTAAAGGTGCCTGGCGTTGACGAGATGCTGCGACAGCTGAAAATGGCTACGCTCTCCTCGTATCTGTATCCCATCGAGCTCTCTACTTGTTTTGAACGATGGTCGTATTCAAAGGAAGAGGACTGGACTATGACACAGCTTTGTGCCATGAGATTCTTTCAGCAAAATTTTTCGTTTGAGTGGTTCCTTGGTGAGACCGAAGGGACCAAAAGCCTGCCACAGCAGTCCCTTGCTTTCTTTGCTGCGCAAGCACAAAGCTTGCAGGGGCTCTCTAGCAAGGTTATCAGACCCCCGCAATACAAGCCCAGAGTGTTTGCCCACCTGTTTTCGGGGCACCGCCGAATTGGAGACATCCAGAGTCATCTGGAACAAGCTGGAGTTTTCGCCATATCGGTCGACATAATTTTTCATGCTGACTTTGGCGACCTAGCGAAGCCCGAGACTTTCTCCTTTTTCGCGAGAGCTTTAGCTGAAAACGTTTTGCTGGGATTCATCGGCGGACCGCCGTGTGAAACGTGGTCCCGAGCACGTGGCACAATCCTATCTGACGGGCAGCCGGGTCCAAGAATCGTCCGAAGTCTTGCTCGGCCGATGGGACTCCTGGGTTTGAGGAAGCGAGAACACGAACAAGTTGTGTTTGGAAGCAGATTACTCGGCATTACGCTGAAGTTGATGACGATTGCCCTACGCACTGGCAAGACGGCCATCCTGGAGCATCCAGCTGAGGACAATGTGAACTGCCACCAAGTTTGCATTTGGCGACTGCCTGTCGTTTGTACGTTGTTGCGCTTCCAACAATGCAGACGCATTAGAGTCTTTCAGGGATTTTTTGGAGCGAAGTCTCCGAAACCAACTGACTTGCTCTGCGTCAATGTGACTGAGAAAGCAGAACAGATGCTACTCAGTGGACGAACAACCGCGTTACCGCAGACAGCCTCGATTGGCAAAGGAACACAAGGTGAGTGGCTTACGACGTCACTGAAAGAGTACCCCAGTGATTTTTGTAGGTTGCTTGCGAATATCTTCCTGGAAAGCCAGCAAGACTGTGGAGGTAGCGAGACCCTGCCTGAGTGGTTCACCACCTGCTGTGATACCCTGATTGGCACATTTGACCATGAGGCAGGTATGGGTCTCGACTACCATGGTAAGAGGCTGTTCGAATTTAATTAGTTTGCATAGCGGCCGCAGACAGACGTCCTTGGCGAACGCAAGAGGAAAGTGCCAAAAGCACGCCCCAGGGCAACACATCTTACTTGTTCAAGGTGGAGTCATACAATTTTAATCACCCTTAAGCCAAGAAACATATCATACAAGTTGACATCAACATGTTCTCAGCAATCTTTGAGCAAAATACGCCTATTTAAGCCTATTTAAGCCTCATTGGCTACGCAGAGGGCCAGAGGATTTTTAAATATCATTCAGAATCCAAAAAGAGAATCCGCATCCATCAGGGGATTAGGAGCAAGGACGCTACTAGGAGCAAGGGCATCGCTACGAACGGGGCTCCTACATGTCGAATCCAATCCCTGGACCTCCAGCGAAGCGGAGCCAGGACGTGACGCCCGTCGTTTCGCAGTCGCGCAGCGTCGTTTCAGGTGTGGGACCTTGGGGAATCCGGGGAAACGGTCGGAATCTCCAGTGAACGGTCGGAGAAAAATGGTACCGCCGGTATCTTTTCTTGGGATTTCTTGGGATGTGTGCAAAAGCCTTCAACTTGAAGTTTTGGAAGGCATCACGAAGGGTGTTGTGTAGTTGTTGAACCGGATTTTAACCCGATGTGTTTGTATTTCTTTGTGGGCTGAAGCTAGGATTCTTCTTGCAGTACCAGGATGGCATCAAAATGGCAGGATACTAGTACAATCGGTTGGCAACCAACGGGTTTCTAAGTTGAAGAAATAGCTGCTGGAAGTAAGAGCCAACCAGGTTCGCTGAGTTAGATATATATAGCTCTTAGTTACAGTTCGACAGTTCGATGTTTATTGTAATACTTTTTGACTGGGCTGAGAGCGGTCATTAGCGGTTTGTTGATGTGCTTTTTACAACCACGTTCGAGGCTATGGTTGTGAGGAAGGAACGTTGCAGCCGAGTTGCCCTGAGAATTGGTTGAGCAATTCTGAATTAAGTGCTGTGAGTCAGAGTGAAAATTTGAGGGGCGGGGATGTTTGGACTCACAGGAAGTTCTGAATTGACGGAGTATTTTGTTCATGTTTCCTCAGAATAGCCAGCAACATGAATAGCCGCTAATCCGGCGTTTTCATTCTTTCAAGGGCAGCCTAAACAAAGGGGCGGTTTGTTCACAGCCGTTGTGCTCAGGCCAAGAGAGTGAGGATGAGGCGGATGAGCTGCTTGGTGCCGGAAAGAGGGTCCTGCAGGGGATGAGACTGGAGACCGGCAACGGCTTTGCGAAAGGGGCGAAGGAAGACGTGTTCCAATATGACTTGGTCATGTCGACGTTTTTGGAACCGGACCGGAATCTGACATGCCACATGGCTCTCGAGCTTTTGAAAGCACATGGCTCGAAGAAGCGATACTCAGAGGACATTGGTTCGTCTCATGTTCGTCTAACATGAGCCAATTGGTTGCCGCCCCTCCATCGCCCACAACCCCGATCGTTGGGTAGACCGGTCTATAGACGGGCAGGTTGTTTGACCCTCGTACACATGCTTAGGTAGTTGCTGTCTAATGGGCTATGGGTCACCAGGACGACTGGGCTCCGGTTCTGCCCTCCTAAGATCATCCTCGCTCCGGGTGCCAGGACCCACAGCCGACGGACTACACGATTGTCATGTTTGAAAAGTCACGAATTGAACCTCTAGTAGCTTCTTTGTTACTACTAGTAAGGCACTTGTTACTAGTAGCGATGCACTTGTTCCTAGTAGCTTCTTGTTATATATTGGGTTGGAGGCCATCCTTACTAGTAACAAAAAGCAACTAGCAGCTAGAAGCTTCCTTGGAAATCGTTTCACCTGTAACAAGAAGCTACTAGTAACAAGTGCATCGCTTCTAGTAACAAGTGCCTTACCAGTAGGAACAAGGACGCTAGTACTAGATGTGCCAGACCTCGACCGCGCCGGCGTCCGAACAGTCCCCGGTGAGGTCCGACGATGATCTGCTCTTTATTTAGAGTCACCGGCGACCAGTCCCGCGGTACGGCGGCCATTGTCCCGGTGATGTCTCGGTCTTCAACCCAGATGACGGTAGGTCAGGAGAGCTTCGCTGGAGCGGCTCGTGGATCAGGGTTGGTCTCAATGGACGGTCATTGGTATTCCTGTCCATGTTCAGATTCTTTATTATGGGTGTCCTGGAACTGGGTTCTGGCTTTTGGTCAGCTATAGTCGTATGTTGTTTGCTCTAACTTCAGTTTGCAGATATTCACGGGGAAAGACGAGCATACATGAAGAGACTCTGCCTTTGATTGCCTTTGGATGGTGTGGATCAGGTTTACAACATTCAACATTGTTGTAGCAATTTGTAGCATGCCATTGAATCATCGAAATACTGTGGCCCACTGTGATTGGAAGTGGTGTTCTTCAGTGCGGGAGATGGTAATCTGTTTGGTCAGAATCGCCACAGTTGGTGGCTGTTCGGTGATCTTGTGGCGTGGATCCAGGCACACACAAGACCAACATCCGGAAAGGGCACTCCGTTTCTCAACATTTCTGGAGTCGATATCAGGTTTTGCTGGGAGCGGATACTTTTCCATTACATAGATATATGATATCCGTCTACATTCAACTTCAGATCCAAAAGGATAGCTTTAAAGCCGTAGGTGACCGCAGGATGAATGGAATTGTGAGTTTCATCTCCTGATCCCGCCGACCACATTACTCAACCCACTTGCTTCCACCGAAAACATGGGGTGGAAGCCTCGACGAAAGCCACTGAAGTCTGACTTCAGCCTGCGGCCGAGACTGCGCGAAGGGCGGTGCTGGTGAACAGCCTGAACAAATTTGTTGTTTTAGTGCCCAAATAATAGCCATCCAAAAGCAACTATATATCCCTCCATGAACTTGTTTGTGTCTATATAGTTATGCCGAGCCGCACGTAGATGTTCGGGCGCACAAGATGTCGCACACACGCCGAAGGCCATGTGCCTCATAAACGTCCCCCAAAGTCGAAACCGTTCAAAACCACCGTTAAGGTTGGTTCTTTGGATACATGACGGCCCACCCAGCAAATGGCTAGGTCTCAAGCTGCAACAATATTTGTTCGAAGGTTATACTCAAGGTCATATAATTTCCTAAGAGTGATGGCCTCCAACCTAACAGCGATGGGGTCCAGTGTCAAAGATGTTTCAGCCACAGATGAAGCTTTCCGGGAACGACGTCGCGGTGTGAAACACCGTGATGTTGCCGAAGCACCCTTCGCTGCCCTTTCACCCGGCTGAAGAACACCGATTCTAAAGGAATTCGGTTGGGCGTCGGTCAGTGGATGCAGTGGATGCAGCTGTTTCCCGCCGATCAGAGGTGAACATGCGAAAAAGGGATAAACCCACATTTTGTGTCATGTCATGCTCATGTCATGCTCATGCAATGTCAGCCAAGCTGGGTGCAAATTCCCCGCAGTCACCATGTGGTCATGTTGGTGTTGTTGCCCCTGGCATTTGGAGGAACCCTACTCGGTACAGATTGCCTAATTGGAAGTTCTTACAGGACGAATCTTGGGGTGGCTGGACCAGCGGTGCTTTCCAAGCAGCAGTCCGTCCATAGAATTTCTTGAAGGCTCACCACAGCAAAGAAGTTTACCAAGGCGGGGCGGCTCGCATGCAAGTCGCCACGAGGGCGAAGAGCCACGGTGTTGCGAACGACCCCGGAAAAGGTCATGTTGTAGGAAGCATGTTATGTTTAATTCGTTATTACTTTTTCGTGTTTGTAATTAATGTTCATAGACCCCACAGTGCCCTCTCACAAGACACTCCTCAATGTTCGTGCTTATCGAGGGTTTCAGGCAATGCAAAAGTGGCTCGGATGATGCTGTTCTGGTCCAGGGTTTTGAGCTATGGTGGCCAAAACCACGATGCATTGGCAATTACCACTTTTGGAACCAATCCTCTACACCTTCCCAAACTAACATAGCATCCCGGAGGGTCCCTTCCAAGACTATTTTCCTTTACAAACAAAGTAAACCCCTCGATCATTGGAGTGTACTTGGTAGTTTGGAAGCTAACACCGTACCTTTCAACCGGTTTTCCGGGTCATCTCCTCTCGTCCGCGACGAAGTCGCGGCGAAGTCGTTTCGACGAGTGAAGGCAAAAGGGTGGACGGATGGACGGTGAACGAGGGCAGCGAAGGACTGGGTTTGGCGAAAGCAGGACTGTTCTCTCTCATGGCGAACAAACGAGAACGCCATGAGGGATGGGTCCTCAACCTGGGGGCGGTCTTGTCCACCATTTGCCGCCGCCAACGACTGACACATACCGACATCGGGATGGGTATCTCCTTTGATGGCTTTCAACATTAGAGGTTGTAGCCAGCAACAACCTAGAGAGTTATTGGGCACATTGGGGTACTATATTTTTTGTTTGTTAAGAAAAGTGAAGGCACCCAAGTGTCAACATACTTCGGTTGTTTGCCAGTCTGATTTCCTCATCAAGTTGCTGTTTGTAAAAAAGTGTTGGACCCGTTGGGCGTGGAAGTCGATGCTGTTGTCCGTCCTCGTGGCAAGCATCGCGACGGCCGTGGCCGTTTGGCCCAGGGGGCGGGAGGACGCCCGGAGGACGCCGGGAGGTGTTCAAGGGCCAATCTGAAGACCTGGTTTTGCTTAGTAGGGTGATGTTTGTTTGCCAGAACTGACATGGGCCTGGGGCATATGCGGTTTTTGTTTTTCCAGTTTCCAAGAAGCAAATCCAAGTATGGAAGATCCTGTCAGTCCAAGCACTATAGGCACAGTGTTTTTGAACTTGTTTCTTTGTATCATTGTTTCACCATGTCCTGCATCTGAAGTATATACTATATATACACCATTATACACCCAGTTTGAGGTTCAGGTTTTTGCCCTGTGTGGTGAACATGAATAATTACTCATATAGATATTCATAGATATCCTTGTCCAATCACAGGTTCCAAATTCAAGATTCCAACCTCAAGATAGTCAAGATACCCCGCGGATGTCTTTCTCCATCGCCACGGCTGGTCCCTTCCCTCCGCGCCGCGGATGTTCGCGGCTTGCGCGCCGAGCGTGCCGGCGTCCCGCGGGTGGGGCGTGCCGCGCGGCTTGGGCGCCGGACACGCGTCCGAGAGGCGGAGCCGGGTGTGGTGGGAGACCGGCCGACTGGTGGAAGAAAATTGGGGGTGAAAGAAAGAAAGAAAGAAAGTGAGGGATCTTCTGAATGGCAGGTTTCTGGAATTTGACCTGAATTTGTTGCTGTACTTCGCAGCGAAATGGAATGGGAGAAACCGAAACTAGGCCGGCAATGGAAGGACTCTGAGCTTGACAGGTGTCCGAGGGTTCATGGTTCTAGCAAGAGTACATGCCCACTATAGGCGGCCATAGGACGCAACGAACGGAGCAAGGACGGGCATCGCTACGAACGGAGCGATCGGACCCTACGAACGGGAGCAAGAACACATTCCCATCAAAAACGCTGGGCTTTGATGTCGCTTGCGGCCATGGCCGTGCGCGGCTTTGGCCGGCAAGGACGGAGCATCCAAAGAGATGGTGCGTGCTGGCCGTTCAGTCGACGACAGATTTGCCCGGTCTTTCCTCACTTACATTTGCCCGAATCCAAGCGCTTGGACTGCTTTTTTTCACATGGTTCACCTGGTTTGCGCGCTTGGATTGTCCAAAAAGAACCTTGTTTTACCACACTCAGGTTGGTCCGCTTTGCCATGAAGTGGCCCAAGAAAGAGAAAAACAACCCACAAACTGCTATTTAAAAGAATCAGTGGAGGACGGCATGTGCTTGATTGCATTGCTTCAACTACTTTGGGAGAAATGGTTGTTCTGCAATTGGACTATCGCATGATTGCTCAGTCGGCGAAATGACTTATCATCGCAGTAATGTTCAGTAGCTATTCTTCGCAAGAACCTTTGCCATCCCAGTCCGGTTCCAATACCTTTGACGGCTCACTTGTCATTTTATGTCATGTTTGTTGACGTGTTTTTTGTGAATGGTACTAGTAGCTTCTTGTTACTACTAGTAAGGCACTTGTTACTAGTAGCGATGCCCGAAATGCTCCGTTCGTAGCTTCTTGTTACTAGTAATGGCCTCCATCCTGGATGGCCCCCAACCGGATGACAAGCTCGCCGCTTGTGCGAGCACACTGCCAGGCCATGTGGGCCAGGCGTGGAGATGCCACGTGGTCGAGCAGCTGGCCACTCGGTGTTTCCACCGATCCCGTCACCGTCGCAGCGGAACGTACTACGAGGGTCACCATGGCAGTCACCGCACATGTAGGGAGAACATGGCATTTGTACAGACGTGTAGGAACCAACTGGGTTGGGGGAGAAGAATTATTCCAAGTAGAGAATTGTGGGATGGAGAAACATGGAAACGAAACGCACCAATGGCTCAGGTAACCCGATTCTTTGGATTCGACTCTGGGGGGTTGCCGAAAAAACCTCGCCATCCTCCATGAATGTTTCTTTCCCATAGCACTGTGATATGGAGGGTCATGGATCCTCAAGTGGATATTTTCCCACGTGTCATAACTTACATCCTCGAGTTGCTTCATGATGATCAAGCATGGAATGACGAAGTGTAGATTTCGTGGCAGGGGTAACATTGAAGGTTTGGGGCAGAAAAAGCAAGCAGTTTTAGTAGCAGTCCTCGTCACAGTAGCATTAGTGGTGGCCGCGGTCGGCGGTCCAGAGGCCTGGTTTGCCTCGCCATGCTGCCGCAGCGAGGCCGCAACTTGCAGGCGGACCTGGATGGACCAACCAGGACTTAGCACTGCTACGGCCTCCAACCTACTAACAAGTGCCACGCTAGTAGTAACAAGTGCCGTACTAGTAGTAACAAGATGCTATTAGAAACAAGTGCCTTACTACTAGTAACAAGTTACGAATTTCATTAGAATTTAGCACTGATTGCGATGGAAGTTGGACATTGGATGTCCTGGACCTCGAAGGGTTCATTCGACACTGCTGTGTCCAGTCGTCGCCGGAAACATCGAGTGGAGGAATCATTCGCCACGGCTAAAACCTAGTTTCACAGGTCAAGCACAACTCTTTTAAAGGGCGGGTGTTCTTTTTGACTGAATGATGCAAGTGTTACATTTGGGACCTTCTGAGTGACATTCTGAGTGACAGACACGTGCTTTCTTTTCGAGTTCTTGGTGCCCGAACAAAACTATGGGTGTGCTCGGGTATGTTGGATCACTAGGAACATCAAAACACTTGGTAAAGGAACCTTCATGGTAGTTGATATATGCCAAATGGTTCGACTGTGTTCATTGGTGTTTGCGTCAGCCAAAACTGAGAACATCATTCTTTTGAAGTCCATGGAGGTTGTCAAAGCATGTGCACTCGCGTCAATTCACCAAGAGGGAGTGGTGGGGCATTTGAAGATTCCAGGATGCCTGACCCATTGCCAAGCCCCATAGGCCACTTCCTCTTCTTGAATCCTTCAAACAGCTGCACGAGATCCTGCCCACCAAAGAAGGTACCTTCAGTAAGGTGATAGGTTCTTGTGAGCAACAAAGTTACTTGACTTGTACTTGTTGCGCCCCTTTGCGATGTGTGATTTAAAGGCAAAAGGGGCGCAACACCATCTACCAAGGTGTTCAGCCCCCCACTGCAATCCCGAAATCTTAAAACAAAAACATTCAACGAGAGAGGCCTTTGTGACTTTCTGTGGTCCAAAACTCCGGTCTTTCTGTCTCCGGGAGGCGAAGGCACGAAACAGATGACATTCAGCGATGACATTCCACGCGCCACGCGCCAGGTGAATCGTGAGCTTTACCAGAAGTTGCTTCACAGCTCGCCAGAGGTGCCGGCCTTGATCTATGACTGGCTGAGACAGGTCTCGAACAGGTCTCAGGTCAGTCACTCATCCTGGCATCGCTACGAACGGAGCCAGGTTCGCTACGCGCCAAGACGTTTCTGAGACCCAGGTGCCGATGCTCATGCGATGCGGGGGAACCTCCGCCGTTCCGCCCGTTGCCCCAAGGCGGTGCTCGGCCTTTGTGAGGAGCAGCTTGGAGGAAAGGTCTCTGAAGAGGTATTGCTTTTGAAGATGAAAGTAGTCTTCCAAAGTTCCATGGCGTTCCATGGTGTTCCATGTTGGTCTTCACGGGATCACCTCTGAAGGGATGATGTCTCCCCAAGTTGGCTAGATAAGGTGCGGGAAAGACTGAGGTTGTATGTAGTGAGTTGGTTGGAGGTTCCCTCGTTGCTTTGGGAGTTTCGAGACTGACATCACTCCAAGTTAGTTTCAACAGAGCAGACTCTTCAACGACCGCGCTCTTTCGTGGAAAGTCCACTGAGCTATTTTTAGAGGCCAAAACAAAATGCACAGATGCAGGAGATGTGGAAGGGTCCTAAGAGGTCTCTGTTTTACCGCATAGGGAAAGAGTTCTCAACGTCGTGAATCACAACTTCTTGTGTAGTTTTATGTGGATAGAGATTGGCTAGCAGAACTGTTAACTGTCGGAACATGCTTGGCAATTGGCGCAGAACATGTGTCTTGGTCCTCGTGCTGGAGCTCTATTTGACTTGACTGAGGTATGCCGGTGTTTTGGCCACTTCACACCGAAGTTGAGCTGGGAGTGTTCCGGTTTGTGGAGCTGGGAGAGGTGAGGTTGTCCACCCGTGCGCAGCGACCCATTCACCGGACCCACGAACGTTGGTTGTTGGTGCCATGGGGTCCGAACCTGCAGCTTGTTGGTGTTTGTCGATACTTTTCGAGGCTTATTGGTTTTGGGACCTCCAGTAGGATACGATTTTTTGTTGCCCGAAACATGGTTGCCGAGAATTGAGTTTCATGTTAAATGTGCTTTCCCTCGGCAAGAGCAATATGAAAATAGCCGCACTCCATGGCGGTATGATAGTGCCAAGGATACTTTTTGCCATAGTGGCCTCAGCAGCCATGCCATAGATGTTTTGCAAAAACTTTACCACTAGTCATTGGTGGCAAATATGAGAACACTGAATAGGCTTTGTCAGGTGTCCATGAATCTCTACTACTTAGTCAGGTGGTTCTTCCATCAAGCACCAAACTTGAGAATTAATTACAGTTGCACTACGCGTTTCAGAGTAGATGGCACAATTCCTAAAAGGATGTTGATACGGACCCCCATGTAAAAAACATCTTGAATCTTAAGGTTTGTGCCATTTACTCTGAAACTATTGAAAGTGGGAGTTTGTTTGGTCGTTCCAATAGTTCAAACATGTCAGAATCCCAATGTTCGACCGGCCGGTTCGATCATGCAGTATGTTGAAAGGCTGGTTTACACTCAGCACCTGGTGGTTAAATTCCGTGGCGAGGCCCGGAAGTGTTTGAGGTGTGAAAAGTCCAACAAGGACCGAGCCAGTGCTAACCCATCGGTAGGAAAGATGATCTTATAACTGGCTCCACATAGGACATATATATATAATATATATATATAATGATTAGATTAAATATGTATTTCCACAGCTGTTACAGAAGGGTCACATTGGGGTCCTGGATAATCCAGTCTCCCTCACCCGTGCCAGAAACATGCCTCTAAATTATTTAATTATTGGATACACATTCGCACAAGGTGTTTGTAGAAGTGTGTGTGCTTCTTGTTCGAAGGTTCAACACATGTGTTCTTTTGTTTGCATGTTGGACACGAATGGCCACAATTGAACCACATCGCCTTTTGAATCCGTTTGGAGCCATTACAAACCAAGGATGGTGTGAACCTCTCTGCTGCACTGCATCAATTGGCGCTCAAAAGCAGACGCGCTGGCACAGCCACGAGCGCTTGTGGTGCTTTGGTCTCCGATCCACGCTTCGCACAGCCACGAGCCAGCAATGGGGTTGTTGGGGAAGCGAAGAATAGGGGACAGTGGTAGAGCCAAGGATAGCCAAGGTGGTTGGTCAGTCGGAAGGGAGTTTGTAGGGTTCAAGATGACTTGTTGAATTGGAAGCTTCAAGACTCTTGGAGAGAAAAGATTTGATGTTGGGCAATATGGTAGAGGACTTGTTAGTTTGCGTAGATGCAAAAATGGCGATAGCGCCTCCAATGGCATTCTTCATTGAACCAACTCTTGAATTGAATGCGAATATTTATAGTAACAAGAAGCTACTAGGAACAAGTGCCTTACTACTAGTAACAAGAAGCGAACGTAGTAACAAGTGCCACGCTAGTAGTAACAGAGGCGATTCCGATCCTGCCATCCCAATTGTTTTTACAAAGGAAGAATATAAGAAAGATACCATACATTCTGGAAAAATCATACTGGGCCCTCCAAACAATGGCTTAGGGGAACACGGTGGGTTCTTTCTGTGAAGCTGTCAAACAGTTCTTGCCATCTTGACAAGCCATCGCTATTAGGTTGGAGGCCATCGCTATTAAGTTCCTTAGAGTTTGTTTCTTAAAGTGTATTGTTGGGCTTTGTTGAAATACATAGCTCACCAACTCAAGGACCTGATGATGTGTCAAACATGCAGATGATGCCTGCTATATTTTTGTGCAGACTAGACATGCTGCTTGTAGAATCACTTGCCTTGGTAGTTGATTTGCTTGTGTTCAAGCCAAGACTCATTGGTGGAGAAATCAGATAATGATGATTCCCGAGGTATCCTTCATCAAAATATACATGCCTGGACACCCATGCAAAGTGCGTGTACTGACACCGAACAATTCCAACATCAAAGCGCACCAATGTTTTGATACAGGTGTACGTTTTTACTTTTTCCCAGGTCAATGAGATCAATGGCCAAAAAACAAGCATCCAAGCTGGTGGGCTTCTTGCTCCTCCTGATGGGTCGTCCCTCCCGTTGGCCAGGTTGATGAACTCTCTCCTGCAGGTTTTGCCATCCTTGGAGGCGTGGAGAGACCACACCTGCATAGCGAGCAATGCCTGGGTTTGCTAGACACACTATAAGAGAAAGACTTTAAGACTTTAAGGAACCTAATTATGATGGCCTCCAACCTAATAGCTATCGCCTCCAACTTAATGGGGATGGCCTCCGACCGTTGATTTTCGCAAACTGGGTGAGTCTTCAGCAAATCCAATAACGAGAGGGTATCCATTTGGCGAGTTGTGTCTTGCTGAGTGCTTGCTTGCAATTATGTAGATGTTGATGGTGAAGGGTTTTGGTGCATGTGAAACGAAGTATTCGTTGAAGCAGCTTCTCCTCATGTTCAGAAAGCACTCTTTGGTGAACAGGTTGATCAAACATACTTGCAGAGGCCTCTTGAAACGTGTGAATATATGTGAACAAGTGAACTATTGAAACACAGATTTCAGCGCCGCTGTTTGACGCGGAGCGAACAGAGGCACAGAACCTGGCCAGAACCGCGTGAGCGTTCACCAAGCTCTCGGTGGCGGAGCGTGAGCGTTCACCGATGGTCACGGAGTTGGCGCGTCAGGCGAGACTAAAAGACCCAGAAAGGATCCGAAAAAGCACTGATCTCGTCTTCTTACGTTCGTAGCTTCGTGCTCCTATAAGGCAAGGAACCCCGTTCGTAGCGAACATTGCTCCTAGTAGTGATGCCAGGAGCCCCTAGTAGCTTCTTGTTACTAGTAGTAAGGCCAGGAGCCCCGTTCGTAGCGTTCTTGCTCCTAGTAGCGATGCCAGGAGCCCCTAGTAGCGTTCTTGCTCCTAGAAGACCATAACTACAAGTGAGTCGAACCCTTTAGGTTCTGGGGCCACAAGTGAGTCGTAGCAGTCTAGGTGAGCTTGAGCCCTCCATGGCTACACAGCCAAATATGAAAGACCCAGATGGCTGGGTCAATAGATGTTGTAGCTTAGCGCTCTCATATGTACAGCCCAGTCTCAGAAACAGATGTTCCCCCAGTTCCAGCCAGTTCCTGTGTGGATCTCGGCGCCATGGACCGGAACAACCTTACTAGTAGTAACAAGTGCCACGCTAGTAGAAACAAGTGCATCGCTTCTAGTAACAAGTGCCTTAATAGTAGTAACTAGAAGCTATTAGACCATTTGTTTCTTGTTTGGGTTTCCAGGAGTCACTGTCGTGGCACACACACGACACCCTTTCTGGAAAAGCCTTCGCATTTGGACGCTTTTTGTGCTGGTTTTTGCGCTTGGCGGGCATTGACTTCTAGACAAGTGAGACGCACCAAGTTGACATCACCTGCAGGTGCCAAGATGCACTGCTCAATTCCAACCACATTAGCTAGTACCTTGGCATCTTCGCGGAACCTGCGTTGCTTTCTGCTGCGTCGGTCTTCGTCGGTCGTTGAGCATCGGTCGCCGAGATGCCCATCAGCGGTCGCCAGAGACGCCGTCGCTCGTAGGTCTCTGGAGACCAATGTGGCCTTCGCATGGTTTCGCATGGTTTGGCCAGAAAACACGAATGTGAAGAATGTTGGAGCTGATTTAATTGATGGTGTTAAATAAAAGAAATGAGAGATCAAAAGGGCTAAAATATGAAATATATATATATATAATACAATAATATACAATATATAAAACAACACTCCCTGGAATCAGTTCGTGGAGACTCCACCGTCTCTCAACGGATCCTCGGATCCTCGGAGAGTCCGCCTCAACTTCGGCGTTCTCGATTTCATGGAGAGAGAAGAAAAACATAATTCATTCAATGGCCAAATAACAACAGCAGCAAGAAAACGTCGGCAGCCCGACTGACAGTGAATGGTGTGGTCTCCGTGTTTCCTTTCCAAGGGAAATTGATACTTGAATGAACACATTTGAATAGGTTCAATGTAGTTTTGGAAAGAGACGCTTCCCTGAATTGACCAAATAAAGAACTAATCAGAACAACAGCATCTTGCAGACAGAGCAATAACAAAAGAAAATAAGATGAAATCATAGCTAAGGAAACCGGAGATCATATCAAGACCAAAGCAGACCACATCATAAAAAGATATACTAAAACATGTCGCCAATCCACACAACATGTGATTATAGCGCCATGTCGCCATGCCAAACCTAACAAAAACGAACAAAACCAAGCAAGTTCGATCTCTCCTTTCCTGTTCTTCCCTTCTCTGAGGCCATGCTCGCTTGGTCTTTCGGCACCTTGAGCGCCCGCGCCGACGCGCACCGCGCGGCCCTGGAGCGCCTCGCGGCGGCCGCGCGCAAGTCGGCCCAGGCACCGCGGGCGAAGCGCGGAAAGGCGGAAGGCGGAAGGCGATGGGCCTAAGACAAGAACAGATGGAGCGGTCAAAACAAGCATTTTATGTATGTTTTATTGTTTGGTGGTGGATTTGTGTGTGTGGTGGTATGTGGTGGTGGTGGGGTGGTCAAGTTCAACAAGGCATGAATGGCAGGGTGGTTCAAAGGAGGGAGTTGGAGGAAGTTGTAAGTTGTTTGCTTTCATGACACAAATGACCTGCAGGCTGCAGGCTGCAGGGATTGTTTTGAGGTTTGATGAAGGGTGTGGTGAGTGTAGTGACGTGATGAATGGTTGAAAAGAACCCTCAAGAGTCACCCTGACCTCGAAGAAACTTCCTCACAGGCCGGATGTCTTTGAGCAATCATGTTTGTGAGAAGAGTTGTAGTCATGAATTGGGGTCAGTGGATGATTGAGGTCCCTGCCTTGCGAACTTAGCGCAACCATGCGCCCCACCCCACAGATGTCTAAGAGCTTGAGGTTTTTGAGTTGTTGAACTATTTGAACTCTTGGCAAATTTGGTTTCCATGGATACAGACGTCATTCCACAAATCCTTTCAACAGACATTGGACCACTGTCTTGAAACACGCTTTAGTGTCTCTTTCCAACCCACAAGCCACTGTTTTCACCATGTCTCTTTGCCATCTACAGAATGTGACAAGTAGTAACAAGTGCCACGCTAGTAGTAACAAGTGCCTTACTAGTAGTAACAAGAAGCTAGTAGAAACAATAACAAACACAGCATCTGGACCATTCCTTCTGGCCACTGGAAAACTGCACGCGCTTTGCGGCTCAGCTTCTGCGTCAGAGGAGTTCAATGCGCGAAGCTTGTCCAATTTCGCATGAACCTCAGCAAAGCTTCTGTTGGCGGAGGCAGACTGCGGGCAACTGCGGGTGGCCGGGGGGGTAGTGGAGACTTCTCGAACAAACTTGCAAGGGTTGCCATAAATAAACTTGCAGTTTCCTGGTGTAGCGTAAAGAAATCAAAGCGCTCTTCTTGTCAGTTGAGATTGGATGGTTTCTGTCTCTAACACCGTTTGTTTAGCCGCTTGTCTTTCCACACGGAAGATAAACCAAGTACCTTGGATGGAGTCAACAAAAGTCCTGCCATTGTCTTTCTGCCCTGCTTGATGGGTGACCCACACGGAGTTCTTCGGAGTTCTTCCTCAAGGCTTCTCCGGCTTGGTTCTGTTGAGCAGCGCAATCTGTTGTTTGATTGGGCTGTTTGACCCAGACTTCCAGGTGTATAATCTTACGCCCAGTAGCTTTGCCCCGACCAGTTGGAGCGGCAAAGATACATTTTCACTGTAAGACCCCTTGTGCCTCCGCAATAAGGCAAAGCTCATCCAAGGGTGTGTTGCTTCGATGTGTACAATGTGTACGCATTCCTTTTATTCTAAGTAGACCTAGTGAAGACAATCCCTGTAAGCCCACGTTTGATTGGAAACAAGGAGAATCCCTGGTTGATTTCATGGTTGAGGGTCCCTATACTATACTCATCTCCGAGAGGTTGACACTCCCCTAATCCCTAGTTGAATGGTCCGTCCACCACCAAAGAAACGCTAGTTGTTTAAAGGGGTTGAGCCGTTGAGCCCCTAAGAATCCCTTGTTGATGGGCGAACCATGCGAACCATGGTAGTCATGAGTGTGTTGGCCAGATGGTTTTGCCATAGGCGAAGACAATCGAAAAAACGTTCGTTCTTTACCCTTTTTCCAAAAGGGTCACGGTTAAAACAGAAAAAGTAAAACAAGTTGGCCAAAGCATTTGACCAAGTTGGCGCGGGACAAAGAAAAGGGTTAATGAAAAAAGACCTAGGGTTTAATGTCGGACTATGTCGTTGTTCCTTTGCCGTTTTCTCTGCGGCGGCGCAAGCGGGCACCCCTTAGCAAAACATCGCGCGCGAACCGGCTTAGGACAAAAGCCGAACTCTGGGAAGAGCCTCCATGCGATGTATTCTAGAGAACAGGTCTCCGAATAACATTTTTCGTGCAGGTTTCTGAGCAAGGCTATCAAAGAAATTGTGCTAATTTTTGTTGCTTTGGGGTATAGAAGCATACTCCAATAGCCATACCTCGATAAACCCGATCATGAATAGTAGGCCCCTATATTCTATGGTGGAACCCCATCAGGGATACCCGATAGAATCAGATATTCCATCCACATGCGATGGGTTCATCGGTGTGAACCGGCGCGTATTACAATAGGAAAACCCCCAAAGACCGGAAGAAGGGACACTAAAACCTGTTGGCTTGAGGTCTCGCTACACGGCCGGTGGGGAGCAGAAGAGAAGAACGTCAACGTTCAATGCAGACGGCAGATCAGAAAGGGCTTGAATATGCTGTGGAGAATGTGCTCTCTGAACGGATTGATGGATCGGTACCAATTTCACTATCTGAAGGCACAAGCTGCTATCTGAAGGTGCGGACGACACGGCGCAATACTTACCCCACATGGACAAGGCGGCTCAACGGCTGCGCAAGCTCGCGGAGAGCGCTGAAGCGAGCCGGCCTCGCACCCCTTTCTAAGAAGGGTGAACCCTCCTGGTTGAACCAGCGTTGCTGACTCCTACCGAGAGCGTTTGGCTCCGGCTGCCGCGCTTCCTTGAGGAGTACGGGCACTCCCACAAAAAAAAGCGCGCAGGACAAGGCAAACAAAGGCGAAAGAGGCTAAGGCCGGGGTGTCGGAATTTCCCCAATTCTTCATTACTACGCCAGGCCAGAGATCGCCTGGCGTCCCACCAGAGGCCCAGTGGCCAGAGTGGGTTCGCCGCCGGTGCGCAAGGAAGCGCAAGTGGACGGGGCCGGGTGAGTCCAGTCTGCCGAGAGAAGTGGCATGTGATCGTGTACCGAGTAGTAAGGCACTTGTTACTAGTAGTAAGGCGCTTGTTTCTACTAGCTTCTTGTTACTACTAGTAAGGCACTTGTTTCT